TCTTTAGGGACACCTGGATGGCTCAGTTGGTTATGCGTCTGTCTCTTGATTTGGGCTTAGGTCATGATCTCAGTTTGTGAGTTCGAGCCTTGCACTGGGCTCTTTGCTGACAGTGCAGAGCCTGCTTAGGAATCTCTCTCTCCCTCTCTCTCTGCTCTCACCTCCTAGTGCTTGCTCTCTCTCTTTCTCAAAATAAATAAACTTAAAAACAAATTTTTAAAAGGCAATCCCAGCATCAAAAATTATAAAATACATAGGAGTAAACTTAATGAGACAGAAGATTTGTACATTGAAAACTACAAAACACTGTTGCTTTGAAACAACTACACTGGTTGGTTTGGTTACAAGATAAATTAGGAAAAAATATGTCCCACTTCATATTCATAAGGTAAAATGAAATAGGGATGTATTGTGTTGTTATATACATATAATTAAAAATCCATTTCCAAATTAAATTTAAGGCCTATAGAGAATGGAAGGTGATGAAACACAGTATATAAATCAGGTATGTGTGAAACATGGCTATGGCATCTGTAGAACACAAAAATTCAGCAGTGGCAGGTAGGATTTTGTTGTCACCAGCAGCAGCAAAAACAGAAGCACACATATGCCGAATTCAGTTGGAAGAAATCCATTTCCCAGGCGCAGTGTTTCTCAAAGTGTGATCTGGCAACAGCCTGCACCAGAATCCCCTAAAATACGGTAAAAGTGAAGGTTCCAGAGCCACATGTCAGACATTTGCAGTTTAAATAAGCTCCCAAGGTCTTAGGTTCTCTAAAATTTAAGAACACTTCTCCAAATCTCTGAAAACAATTGTTTTTTCTGAGAAAGCCATGGGAAATATTTGTCTGTACCAGCAAATTAAGGATGGTAACTTATTTAATGTTCTGAGACTATATCGTCTAAAACCATTATATTTTTCACTTAAATATTTTAGGCTTTGATGAAAAAATATCAAAGATATAAACTAACTTATTGTTTAGTAAAGAAAAGGTGTTTTCTTGGAATGAAACAGTTCTTCCTACCAAAAAAAAAAAAAACAAAAAACAAAAAACAAAAAAAAAAAAGACCAGGATATAACAAATGTATCCCTTGTCCTAGTATTACTTTCCTAAATCAACTCAATTTCACTAAAGGCCTGGTTTTTTGTTTTGTTTTCTGACAAACAAAATGTAGAATGAAGGTGGGAATAATGAACACCTGTACAAACTGTTGCTTCCTAACTTCTGTGTTTTCCATGTCTTGGCTCTCTGAATATGCACTAAGTTAGGGTCTCACAGGTCCTCCCACTCTGCACTAAGTCAGCTGATCACCCCTTCTAAGGCACCTTGGCCATTCTTTGCATCAGATGACATAGTATTTGTCTTTAAACTTTTCATATACCTCCCTAGGCTAATTCCTTTCACAGTAATGACTGCTTTTTTTAAAGTTTATTATTTTTTATTTTATGAATTAAAAAATATTTTTTAACATTTATTCATTTTTGAGAGACAGAGACAGAGTAGAGGGTGAGGGTGAGGGGCAGAGAGAGAGAGGGAGACACAGAATCTGAAGCAGGCTCCAGGCTCTTCAGCACAGAGCCCAATGCAGGGCTAGAACCCACAAACCATGAGATCGTGACCTGAAGTTGGACACTCAACCGAGTCACCCAGGTACACCATAACCTTCTTATGTTTTAAATGTCCATGGGATCTCAAGTGATTCTTTTTTTTTTTAAGTAATCTCCAGACCCAACATGGGGCTCAAACTCATGACCCCAAGATCAAGGATTCCACACTCCACTGAGCCAGCTAGTTGTCCTTCCACTGATTCTTGATATTGGTTATTTTTACTTTTTAAAAATTATTTATTTTGAAAAAGAAAGAGTGTTTGCACACACATGAGCAAAGGAAGGGCAGAGAGAGACAGAGAGGGAATCCCAGGAATGCTCCATGTTGTCAGCTCAGAGCTCGTCTCGATCTCAAACCATGAGATCATGACCTCAGCCCAAACCAAGTCAGATGCCTAACCAACAGAACCACCCTGGTGCCCCTATTAATTTGGTTTTTATTAATTTGTAGGCACATGAATTATTAACGTCTTTTTTTTTTTAAGCTTAAAATGTGGGGCTTGAACTCATGACCCTGAGCCAGTGAGGTGTCCCATGAAAGTCTTTTAGTATCTACATGTGTGAGGGGAGTCTGATTTCCCAGGTTTTAGGTCTCCCTTGCTTTATCTGTATAGAAGCAAACCGGATTATCTGCTCTTCATTCTAGATGTGACTTCCAGAACGCTCTAGATTTAAAATCACTGTTGCTTTAAAAAAAAAAAAAAACATTTACAAGCTTTTGAAAACCTTTTATTGTCCTCAATATTACACCACTATTTTCCTAACCTAATTTTCTAAACACAAAGACTTGGGTACTTGGCTTAGATTCTTCTTTCAGCCATAGTTATATTCTCAAATTCTTAATCTCATCCTAACACAGGCATACTTTATAATTCAAAATTATAGAACACTATTCCATTTCTACAATTTTGTACTTCATGTTGTTTTGGCTACAACTTTTCCCTATTATCTGCCACTCATGATTGCAGCTACCAATACATGATGTGCCAAGGAGTTGCAGTTTTAAAATAAAAGCAATGGGGAACTTCAAAGCTTTGAAACAGAAGAGTGACATGACCTGAAATTATAAAGCATTACTCTTTATTGACGTCTTTACTTCAATCACTTATCCACTTTTCCATCCTATGTAGCAAATTTTACCTTGTATATATAAAATAGCTATTAGCGGCTCTTACTGGCTTTCAGCACTGAGATGGGGCAGGGGTGGGTCTAGGAATCACAGGAAGAAAATGGCAAAATGTAAGAATTTTAAAGACAGAAAATCTGAAAAAAATTACAAAAATATTTTCACTTGCCTTCTGTGAAATGAGAAAACCAATAGATTGCCATTTCTTTTTTTTTTTTTTTAAGTTTACTTATTTTGAGAGAGACAGAGACAGCACAAGTAGGGAAAGGCAGATAGAGAGGGGTAGGAGGAAATCCTAAGCAAACTCATGAACTGGGAGTTCATAACCTGAGCTGAAACCAAGAGTTAGACGCTTCACCAACTGAGCCACCCAAGTGCCCCTGCCACTTCTTATGGACTGTTATTCTGAATTGTCTTTACTAATTTTTGATATTAAATTAGTGGCAGGAGATAATATTTCCTAATGCCTGTTCTCAATGAAATTAAAAAGATGAAAACAAATGCTGGGTATAGTCCAGATCACTGCTGACAAATTCTTCTGTAGTGAAAGTAGGAGATGGTAACAAGACTTGAACTGTTTTCTTCCTTTTATAGTGAGAACATACTCATCTTATAAAAAAACAAAACAAAACAAAACTTGGGACACATGAATGGCTCAGTTGGTTAAGCATCTGGCTTCGGCTCAGGTCATGATCTCATGGTTCTTGAGATCGAGCCCTGTGTCCAGCTCTGCACTGATGGTGCGGAACCCGTTTGGGATTCTCTCTCTCCCCCTGTCTCTCCCTCCTCACCCCCTCTCTCAAAATAAATAAATAAACTTAAAAAAACTAAAACTTGATAAGGCGGAAAAAAATCATTCCCCTGCCTGGAGATGTTTGTTTTTATTATGTTCTGAATTTAGTTGATTTTTCCCTCAACATTTTATGAATATTATGAAAAATTTTACACAGCAAAAAGTTGAATGATAAATTTACAGTAAATATGGAAAAACCCAGCCTCTAATTTTTTTTTTTTTTTTAAGATTTTGAAAGAGAGAGAGAGAGAGAGCTGAAGGGACAGAGAGGGAGAGAGCAGGAATCCCAAGCAGACTCCACACCATCAGTGTGAGTCCCATACAGGGCTCAAACTCACGAACCATGAGATCATGACCTGAACCGAAATCAAGAGTTGGACGCTTAACTGACTGAGCCATGCAGGCACCCAAGCATCTACATCTTTTGAATTTTTTTAATGTTTATTATTATTTTTTTGAGAGAGAGAGAACACATATGCACACATGTGAGCAGAGGAAGGGCAGGGAGAGAGGGAGAAAGAGAATCCCAAGCAGGTTCTGTGCTATTGGCACAGCCTGATGCAGGACTCCAATTCATGATCATGAAATTATGACTTGAGCCAAAATCAAGAGTCAGACACTCACCAATTAAGCCATCCAGGCTCCCCCAAATTTTTCACATTTAATTCATTACTACATCAAGAGCTTATGGTGCCTCATAGTATGGTGAAAAAATAAATAAGAATAAATAAATAAATAAATAAATAAATAAATAAATAAAATAAGAATTTAAAGGACAGGATTTAATTTTGTTTTCTCAATGGATAAATTTGATGTTTTTGCAAATTATCTTAAGTAGCCACTGGTTGATTTAATTAGTTGGCTCAGATACCACTGATACCAAGCGTCTATCGAATATAACCATATAATGTCATTCAATTAGCGGTAAGTTTTAGTGAAATAATGGGCACATTAAACATTTGGAAAGGAACTTCAAATCCTGTGTTATATTCTCTAGAGTATTCTCTTAGGCCTTTAAGAGTAAATTGGATTTTTGGTAACGTCCCAAAGCCTCATTCAGATCCAACTCTGAAAGACTGAAATGGTCGAGTTGTCAAAAAACAAAATGGTTATAATACATTAATGATAATGACTTTTGTGGGTCCTCTAATAATAGTTTTAAGCACTGGCATCAGTGACAGAGTCTCCAAGTACTCCTAGTGTCACTCACCAAAAAGAATACACCTAGTTCTGCTCTAGTCATTGTTCATTTGTCATTCTGTTTCAAAGCTTTGAGACAAAGCCCAGTATATGTAAGAATTTAATATATGATAAAGTCAGTATCCGAAATCAGATATAAAGGGAGAATTACTAAATATATAGTAATGGGAGCACTGATCATTTGAAAAAGTGGACAGCCTTAATTTTCATTAATGTGTTTCTCAAATTTCAAGCATGTAGTCTTCAGAAGAAAAAAAAATTGCCACAAAACCTAAAGGTTAACTTAATATATTTTTAATATTTCTTATATTTGTACTAACATAAAAATAGGTATACACTCTTTATTCTTATACTTCTCACACAAGAATAAAATCTAAAATATTTATAAATTAAAGTAAATAAAATGCAAAGTAATCACCTTAATATGAAGTAACAAATAATGCCATTTTGCCCAAATAATAAAACAATGTTTTGCCCAAAAGAAAGAAATCGCAGGTATTTGGTTTAGTAGCAAAAAGCTGCAGTTTCGGATTCCATTCTACTCTCAAACTGTTTCTAAATGTTTTTACTTTAATAATAATGAGAATGTTCATAGTATCTTGTTCAAACTACTACTGATAAATCTAAGCCTTTCTCTCCTTTTTTCAAAGTAATCAGAACAGAAAATTAACCAAACCTGTCAAATGTTAGCCCTCAAATGCCAATTTTAAAAGGTGTGAATTGATAGAATGAAAAAGTAACAATCGCCTTTATTGAAACCCGCATTACTATTGAATCCAATTAGCTTTAGAATTTGAAACAGAAACATTCTTTACTATTTGCTATTATAATTATTGCTAATGAACTGTTGAAAGTTATAGGAGCTTCACAACAACAAATGGTACTGTTAGGGTTACAGATCTTTTCTGAATAAATGTATGACCTTGTTATGTCAAAACCACATCAGGTATATTATGTGTACAACAAGAGCACACCATCATTTTTCTCATTCTTATGTAATCCATGTACTGCAGCTTCCACAGTTTTATTTTTTTTCAAATCAGATTTTAATTTTGAATACTTAACACTATTGTTAATGTGCATTTCACTTTCCTCGTGTTTGCTAAGAATATGTGATAAATGCTGCCAATCTTTGCACCCATTCTCATTCTTCAATTGATTTTTTCCTTCCCCAAAGAGTTTGCAATACAAACAAAACACAGAATCTTTTGAAGTTGAATAAAGTAACCAGGATCTAGTGGTTTTATCACCATTTGGAAGAATTCGTGTATAATAAGTTTCTGAAAACTTCCTCCCTGTATTGTCTTTTGGAAAGTTAAAATTTCTTACTTGAGGTGGATCGTTTTCAACAAGAATGTCCCGTTGTTTAATATTTAAAACACGGGGCCATGTACCTGGGTCTGCAGAAAGTACAACCGATATAATGGAGTCTTCTGATTTTTTCTCTTCCAGTTGCTCTTGAAATTTATCAGCTATGGTTATAGAAGGTAAATTCACATCCTGTTTGATCAGTGATGTATCATCTGTCCTACATTCTGCCAACACCTGTAGCTCTGAAGTCTTTTCCTTTTTTTCTGGTATTCCCTCTTTTTTTTCTAAAAGAGTATTCAATGATCCATATAATTTCCTTTCATTTTCTTCTCTAATAGCATTCCTTTTTCTGTTTTCTGATGCTGATAAATTTTTTGATTTCGTTTCCATCATCTGGGAGAAACAGATTACAATTTTATGTTAGAATTGTTAAGATTAATGCATATGCCAATGCTCAATAAGCACATGAAAAGTTGCTCATTTGTCATCAAAGAAATACAAATCAAAACCACCACATCCCACTTCACATCCACTAGGGTGACTATAATAAAAGATATGTGATATAATGGCAAGTGTTGGCAAAGATGTGGAAAAACTGAAACCTTCCTAAGGTGATAGTGCAAATGTAAAATGGTACAGGTACCTTGGAAAACAGCCTGGCAATTTTTGAAAAGTTAAAGAGTTACCATATGGCCCACCAATGCCAGAGTGAAAATGGAGGTCTACACATATTTGTACAAAGTGTTCACAGCAATGTTATTATTCATAACAGACAAAACGTAGAAATAATTCAAATGTCCATTACTGATGGATAAACAAGAAATGTGGGAAAGGGTGTCTGGGTGGCTCAAGAGTTAAGCATCCGACTTTGGCTCAGGTCATGATCTTGAGGTTTGTGAGTTTGAGCCCTGCGTTGGGCTATGTACTGACAGCTACGAGCCTGGAGCCTGCTTCGGATTCTGTGTCTCCCCGCTTCTGTCCCTCCCATGGTCATGCTCTGTCTCTCTCAATAATAAATAAACATTAAAAAAAAATTTTTTTTATATGTGGGTATTATCCATACAATTAAATAGTATTTGGCAATAAAAACAAGTGAAGTTATATGCTACAACCTGGATGAAACTTGGACACAGTATAATACGTGAAAGCCAGCCACAAAGTATCATATTGTATGATTCCATTTAATAAAGACATAGAACTGATTTTAGAGTCCATAAAATAAAATTTTAAAAAATCAAAATAACAAAGATGTATACAATGTGAATGCATCCTATTAGCTATAATATTTTTCTACAAAGCACAATTAAACACTGCGTTCAAGTTTAAAAAACTTGTAAGAATTTTGTTTTGATTTAATCCTGAAAGCAATATTGGCAGCACTGAAGTAAAAAAAGCAGGAGCAACATAACCAAGTTTGTACTTAGACTGCTCTGATGGTATTATCATTTCAAACTGTAAGGAAGACGAAATGGTACAGAGACAGCCAGGAAACTGTGGTAGTCATTCTGGAAAAGATGATGGTGGCTTCATCTAGGATTATAGGAATAGAGATAGGATAGAGTTGAGAGATATTTAGGAAGTAGAATCTGGATTATTGGTAACTGAGTGACTCTGGAGGTTAAGGAAGGAGGAGTAAAGAATAGCCCTAAGTTTCTGCCTAGGCATCTGACTGAATGGTGAGATAAGGAGATGGGAAACAGAATGAAAGCAGGTTTGGAGTTTCAGCTTTAGACATGGAATACGAGGTATTTGTGGAACATTAAAATGGAGATTACAGATGGATGGAATAGTCTGAAATTGAAAGAAATATCTACACACAAAACAACCTTCAAATAAAAAAAGAGGAAAAAATATCATCTACAGATATATTTTAGAAATCATCAAAATATATTAATTAAAACTATGGGATCAAAGGGGCACCTGAGTGGCTAAGTTGGTTAAGCGTCTCACACTTGGTAAGATCAAGCCCCATTTCTCTCAAAATAAACATAAAAACAAGAAAGATCTTACTTTTCCCATAAAAATGATTTGGTACCAATTGATGGGAGGATCTTGACCTCACCTCGTTCCATGGACACAACAAGAGAACAGCTACATCTACACAATGAACTCTGAAAATGACCTAAAGACCGCAGCTAATCACAGAGATAAGTCCACATTGACGAGATGTGCTTGGGAACCAAATAAATACCTGGTGTAAGTAACCACAAACAAGAGGGACAACACAAGCATGGAGAAAAGAGAGGCTCAGACCCCACACTGTGCACTCTTGACACCAACGATCTGAGTCACTATAACGCGTGGCCTTGAACACCAGCAGGGCTTAACTCCAAAACCTTTAGAAATCAGTGGAGCTGAACCACTGTAAGACTAGGCTCCTTTACTTGCACCCCATTTTCTCTCCCTCCTGTCAGCTGGGAAAGGCTCCTCCCAGAGGAGGGGGCTGTGGTGGTCCTTGTGATAGAGCTCGCCAACCCCCTCTCCACTCACTGCACCCTCTTGGGGTGACTGGGTGAGGGTGTGCTTCCATGTCCTGACCCCCTGTATTCCTGCCATGTTGTGTCTGGCTCATCCCTGCCTGAATAAAGTAATGCCTCTGCCAAAAAAAAAAAAAAAAAGAAAAAAAAAAAAAAAGAAAAAAAAAAAAAGAAAGAAAGAAAGAAAGAAAGAAAGAAAGAAAGAAAGAAAGAAAGAAAAAAGAAAGAAAGAAAAATTCAGTAGGGCTTAAGCCTTGGGAGCTTCAAAAACCAGTGGGTTTAATGCTGGGATAGCAAGAAGATGATAGGAAATGAAGTCCACCCCCTTAAAGGAGTCTATATACTAAATAACTTGACCTGAGACACACCAGAGAAGCAGCGGTTTGAAAAGCATCTGAGGAATACATGAAGATTTACTGACTCCTCTTGGAAAGTGTGCCAGAATAATCTGCAGATTACTCTAGGAAAAGTGCTGATGGGTAGCATTCCCCACCGCCCCCAGCCTGGATAACTGGTTGCTTGCAAAAGCTAATACTAACACTCTCCCTCTAACTTGCTAGCACCGTCTGCCCTGCCCCAGCCAGGACTGGGACCACTCTAAAGTGATTCCTGCCCTAGGGAAGCGGGAGAAATAACACGCCTGCAGTTTCTGCAACTGGGATCCTTACCTGGCTGCACAGGGAGCAAGCCCTGCCCTGCAGCTGTGACAGAAAGGCTAACTGCAAATTGCTAGGCTGAATGCCACCCCACCCACAAATGAGCCCATAACAACTATGACACGCTTCTCAATGGCATCAGAAGCAAATCCTGTCCATTGGGCCCACAGGAAACAAAGTAGGTCGTTACAGATGGTTGGGCCAAAGGCAATCGCAGCTCTGTCACAACAGGAGGGCACACACAGCCCACACAAGGGACACCTGGAGCACCTGGTTCTGGTGGGCAGAAAAGACTGGCCAGAAAAGGGCACCACAGGACCTCTTCTATATAAGGCCACTACTTTCAAGACGAGATGTAGCTGACTTTCGTAATACATAGAAACAAACACAGAAAATTAGACAAAATAAGGAGATAGAAGAACATGGCCCAAGTGAAAGAACAGGACAAAATCACAATTAAAAAGCTAAATAAAATGTAGATAACCAATACGCCTGATGAAGAATTCATGAATGGTCATAAAGATACTCACTAGACTTGAGATAAGAGTGGATGAACTCAGTAAGCACTTCAACAAAGAGATAGAGAATATAAAAAAGAATGGACTCAGAGCTGAAGAATTTAGTAATTGCAATAGAGGGAATCAATAGGAGATGAGAGGAAGTAGAGCAGATCAGTGATCTGGAAGACAAAGTAATGGAAATCATTCAAGCTAAACAGCAAAAAGAGAAAGGAATAATAAAAAATGAAAAAAAAGTTAAGGGAATTCTGCAACATTATTAAGGGTAATGACATTTGCAATATAGGGATGCCAGAAAGGGGAGTGGGTGAGCAAAAACTTATTTCAAGAAATAATAGCTGAAAACATCCCTAATCTGGGGGAAGGAAGCACCGAGAGCCCTCAGATCTAGGAAGCACCAAGAGCCCCTTACAAGATGAATTCAAAAAGGGCCACACCAAGACACATCATAATCAAAATGGCAAAAAGTAATGATAAATACGGAACTTTTAAGACAACAAAACAGTTACATACAAGGGAAACCCCATAATGCTACCGGCTGATTTTTCAGCAGAAACATTGCAGACCAAAAGAGTGACAAGATATATTCAAAGTGCTGAAATAAGAAATCTATAACCAAGAAGACTTTATGCAGCAAGACTATCATTCAGAATACAAGAAACAGTTCCAGACAAACAAAAGTTAGAGTTCATCACCACTAAACCAGCCTTATAAGAAATGTTAAAGGGAATTCTTTAACTGGAAAAAAAAGGCCATAAATGGAAGAAAATTATGAAAAGAAAAATTTCACATGTAAAAGCAAACATACAGTAAAGGCAGTAGGATTAATCACTATGAAGCCAGTATGGAGGTTAAAACACAAAAGTAGGAAATCTATTAGATCTACAAAAATTAATCTAGGAATACACAAAATAAAAGGATATAAAATATGACACAGACATAAAACGTGGAGAAGGTAGTAAAAATGTAGTGCATTCAGAATATGTTTGAAATAAAGCAACCATCAACTTAACAGACTGCTATACACATAAGATGTCATATATGAACCCAATGGCAACCACAACTCAAAACCATCCATACACAATAAAAAAGAAAGGAATCCAACCATAACATTAAAGAAATCCATCAAACCACAAGGAAAGAGAGCAAGAGAGGATGTAACAATTGTAAATATCTATGCACCAAACATAGGAGCACCTAAATATTTAAAGCAAATGTTAACAGACATAAAGGAGAAATTGCCAGTAACACAGTAATAGAGGAGACATTAACATCCCACTTGCATCAATGGATATATCATCCAGACTGCAAATCAACATGAAACTGTGGCTTTGAATGACACATTAGACCAGATGGATCAAACAGGTATATATAGAACATTTTATCCCAAACCAGCAGAATACACATTCAAGTGCACGTGGAACATTCTCCAGGACAGATCATATGTTAGGCCACAAAATAAGTCTCAGTAAATTTAAGAAGAATCAAATCGTATGAAGCATCTTTCCTGACAACAACAGTATGAAACTACAAGTCAATTATAAGAAAAAAATGGGAAAAAACAGAAACACATGAAGGCTAAACAACATGCTACTAAACAATCAATGGGTCAATGAAGAAATCAGAGGAAATAAAAAAAAAATACACGGAGACAAAATGCCAGTAGTCCAATATCTTTGAGATACAGCAAAAACAGTTCTAAGAGGGAAGTTTACAGCAATACAGGTCTATTTCAAGAAACAAGCCAAATCTAAAACAATTTAACCATATACATAAAAGAGCTAGAGAAAGAACAGTGAGCTGAAAGCTAATAAAATAATAAAGATGAGAGTACAAATAAATTTAAATAAGGATTGGAAAAACAATAGGAAAAAAAAAACAAAACAATGGGTGGCTCAGTCAGTTGAGCATCTGACTCTTGATTTTGGCTCAGATCATGATGCCAGGGTCATGGAATAAAGCCCTGTGCTGGGCTCCACTCTGAGCATGGAGCCTGCTTGAGATTCATTCTCTCCCTCTCTCTCTCTCTCACCCCCCTGGCCCCTCTACCCCCTTGTACGTGCTCTCTCCAAAAAAACAAAACAAACAAACAAAAAAAGAATAACGAAACCAGGAGCTGGTTCTATGAAAGATAAACAGAATTGATAAAGCATTAGCTACTCATTAAAAAAAAAAAAAACTCAAAATCAGAAATGGGAAGGAATAATGACACTACAGTAATACAAAAGATTATAAGGAGATACAATAATAAAAAATTAAATGCTGACAAACGGACAACATAAAAGATACAGGTAAATTCCAGAAACATATATAATCTTCCAAAACTGAATCAGGAATAAATAGAAAATTTGAACAGACTGATAACAACTAGTACTGAAATTGAATCAACAAAAAACTCTCAACAAAAGTCTAGGACTCACTTCACAGGTGAATTCCACCAAGCATTTATGTTAATACCTATTCTTTTCAAGCTATTCTAAACCACAGAAGAGGAAGGAAGACTAGCTTGGAACGATCAATTGATTTCAATACTCATTTGAGATGCGACAGCTCAGTGACTGACAAAAATGGAACTAAATGAGGTTCTAAGATAAATCTGATTAATGTAAGCTAACAGGGAAAAGCTACACTATACTTAATCATTTAAAATGCATTGAAAATAATTACCTGTTTATATTCATTAACACAACTTTGGCAGCAAAATCTTGTCTGCTGACCTTCAATCATCAGGACATGGTTTCCAGCACTTTTACTAGGCAAGTACTCTCCACACTGTTCACAGCAATTCATTATTAGACCATTGGCTAACCTGTACTTATTAAAGCACTGGTTACTGCACAGTTTATGTACTACATTATTAACGCTGACTTCATGACGAATCTAAAAGAAAAGCCAGAATTTATTAAATAAATGAGGCAGAATAGCACAGTAAGCAAGGAGATAACTAGTTTCTTCAAAAGAAACAATCTCTAATAATTTCTCAGTGGAAGAAATATTCAGGGAAAAGAGTAAAAATTATATTTTGTTATTCTTTCATTTTTATCTTTGATCTTACAATAAAGTAAGATTCATGGAACAAAAAGCTATAAGGTCAGTAATAACTTCCCCAGAGACACTTAAAAACTAGAGGAAACAAACTGTTTAGAAGATTTTGATACGACCTAATTAAAAGAAATGGATTGGTAATTTTTGTTATTATAAACTTCACTGCCCTAGAAAATTCATGGAAGGTGCTAAAAGAATCAGTATTACTATATTCAGGATGGTGTCTGTATATGCATAAATAAGATGGTTCTCGCTTTGCTCAGCTCTGTGGTAACTGAGATAAAATCATGCCCTCAATTTGCATGGCTCCAAGGAACACCAAATTCAGTTGCCAAGGCGTTTGTTACGTAAAGACTGCCTGTATGCATGTTTCTTCTTTAGGCAACTGGCAAGATGGCAATACCACTTAAGAAACGTGAAGTTTTCAACACACTTACACTCCACTCGTTCTACATATTCTTGTACCAGGATTGGTTGCTTCCTTCATGTCCTGAAACTACACTTTATTATTTTGAGTGGCTAGTAAGAACAAAATTCACCATTACTTTGTTTAGGAGTATATCCACTTCCATGGAAATAGCTGTGTACTTTCCATAGCATGCAAATGGGATATTTGTTGACAAAACAGTTCTAACATATCCTCATCCTTTCCTTTAACTTCATTGTGTAGATCCAGGACGTGTGTATTATGTAGATGGCAGAACATATAATAACACTTAAAATTATCCTTGTTAACCTACATAGTAGCTTAAATACGATATAAAAATCCAGACCTCTGTTAGCTTACTACAGATTATACATCTTGATTTATTAACTCTTTTTCTAAGATTCTGGTTGTCTTCACAGGGAGGCAAAGATGTACGACAAAATTCTTGGGAGGATTCTTTTGACTCAACTTGAACAGTAGTAGCTTTTTTTGTAGGTGCATCTCTGAAACACAAGGGACAGATGAAACTTAAGAATATTACATTTTAATAAAAGTCAAATATATGAACAAGAAATGACATTTTTCATTTTCTCAGGATTTAATCCTAGGAATCAACTGTAATTTTTGGATCTAGCAAAACCCACCTTTGGTTTCACTGTCAAGAGTTCCTAAATAGTACAGCAAGAGATGATTTGGAGGTAAAAACATTTTGTAGCACAAGAACCTTCTCACAGGTTATTATGATTTTTGAAGGACTCAAAAAAGGTGGTAGCAACTTGGTAGAACGAAGGTAAAACATGGGAAGGATCAAGGCAAAGTCAGTGGCAGAGAGAGGGTCAATTTTTACATTTTCCTTTCCTGCCAAGAGTAAGGACAGCACAAATGAACTCACAGCTCTGACACACTCTAGGATAACTCAAGCTCAATAAACTTGAAGATATCTCTGCAACAACCGTATCCATGAATCTATACAGCTCTCAATTACATTCAACACACATCTATACTGCCAGCATTCAATTATATGGAGCCAGGTTGAAAAGTACAGCTTACTTTTTACATATTACATTGCGTTTCTTTGGAGTGCGCTTATGAGAGAAGGAAGAAAGGCAGGTGGTAGAACAAAAGAGGTGAGCTGATCCTTTTCGTTGATAAGCTGTCTGTCCCTTCTGTAAAGGTTTTTTGCAGTGTGCACAAGTGATTTTAGCTGGTTTAGTAAGTTGCTGTTGGACTGAAGACTGGAAAATCTGCTTAGGAAGGGAGGCCACTGGTGATAAAGAATCCACCCCTGGCTGTTTCTGATTACGGGGAAATGATGCTGACTGGGAGATCCAAGAATCTTAAAAATAAAACATACAAGAAAAAGTCATGGAACAATTCAAAATTCACATCAGAAAAATATTTTAAAATTTTCATTTTGCAAGTTTAACAGAATAGTGAGGCAGCCCTATAAGCAAATGGTCAGAGCCAGGCAACCCTGTGGCACAATCCCAGGGGAACTATCCACTTTGAATTCTTTTTTCATTTCATTTTATTTATTTAATTTACATTCAAGTTAGTTAGCATATAGTGCAATAATGACTTCAGGAGTAGATACCAGTGATTCATCACCTATGTATAACACCCAGTGCTCACATCAACAAGTGCCTTCCTTAATTCCCCTTACCCATTTAGCCTGTCCCCCTCCCGGAGGCAACCCCTCCAGCAACCCTGTTTGTTCTCTGTAGTTAAAAGTCTGTTATGTTTTGTTCCCTTCCTTGTTTTTATATTATTTTTGCTTCCCTTACCTTATGTTAAGCTGTTTTGTATCTTAAATTCTTCATATGAGTGAAGTAATATGAGATTTGTCTTTCCCTAATTTCACTTAGGATAATACCCTCTATTCCATCCACATAGTTGCAAATGGCAAGATTTCATTCTTTTTGATTGCTGGGTAATACTCCATTGTATATATACCACATCTTCTTTATCCATTCATCCATCGATGGACATTTGGGCTTTTCCATACTGTGGCTATTGTCGATAGCGCTGCTATAAACATTGGGGTGCATGTGCCCCTTTGAAACAGCACACCTGTATCCCTTGGATAAATACCTAGTAGTGTAATTGCTGGGTCATAGGGTAGTTCTGTTTTTAATTTTTTGAGGAAACTCCATACTGTTTTCCAGACAGGCTGCACCAGTTTGCATTCCCATCAGCAGTGCAAAAGAGGTCCTCTTTCTATGCATCCTCACCAACATCTGCTGTTGTCTGAGTTGTTACTGTTAGCCATTCTGACAGGTATGAGGTGGTATCTCATTGTGGTATTAATTTGTATTTCCCTGATGATGAGTCATGTTCAGCATCTTTTCATGTGTCTGTTAGCCATCTGAATGTCTTCTTTGGAGACGTGTCTATTCATGTTTTTGTCCATTTCTTCGTTGGATTATTTGCTTTTTGGGTGTTGAGTTTGGTAAGTTCTTTATAAATTTTAGATACTAACCCTTTATCTGATATGTCATTTGCAAGTATCTTCTCCCATTCTGTTGGCTGCCTTTTAGTTTTGCTAATTGTTTCATTCGCTGTGCAGAAGCTTTTTATTTTGATTAGGTCCCAATAGTTCATGTTTGCTTTTGTTTCCCTTGCCTCCGGAGACGTGTTGAGCAAGAAGTTACTGCAGCCAAGGTCAAAGAGGTTTTTGCCTGCTTTCTCCTCTAGGATTTTGATGGCTTCCTGTCTTACGTTTAGGTCTTTCATCCATTTTGAATATGTTTGTATATGGTGTAAGAAAGTGGTCTGGGCTCATTTTTCTGCATGTCGCTGTCCAGTTTTCCCAGCACCACTGGCTGAAGACACTATCTTTATTCCATTGGACATTCTTTCCTGCTTTGTCAAAGATTAGTTGCCCATACGTTTGTGGATCCATTTCTGGGTTCTCTATTCTGTTTCATTGATCTGAGTATCTGTTTTTGTGCCATTTGTTTATTTTAGAGACAGAGTAAGCAGGGGAGGGCCAGAGAGGGGGACACAGAATCCAAAGCAGGCTCTAGGCTCCGAGCTATCAGCACAGAGCCTGATGCAGGGCTCAAACTCACAAGCTGTGAGATCATGACCTGAGCCGGTCAGAAGCTTAACCAACTGAGCCATCCAGATGCCCCTATCCACTTTGTATTTGAACGATACTCTATTGTGCCCAAACTGTAAATGGTGGCCCTTGAATCGTGCAATGCGGTAGTTATCAATTCTTAAGGACCCTAGGTTCAAAATGCATTTCCTAACTTACTGGATGGTGCAAGTACATTAAATTGTGTTTTGGTTTTCTCAACTACAAACTGGAAATGATATCTAACTCATCAGAGTGTTATGAAGACTAAATGAGATAATGCATATAGTAAAGCAGTATGTTTGGTACACAGGGCATTTGCAAAAAAAATATTTAGCCACTTTTTTGTCTCAAAGAAGAAAGTATTAATATATTACAAAATAAAGCAAAAAAGGTAAGTACAGAATCTGGTATGTGATGTCCATTTTTATAACCACTTCCTCCTAATACGAAAAATATAAAGCATAGAAAAGAAAAAATTTTACAGTGACCACTCATATGCCCACCAAGTCTATTCTCTCTTTTACTATTTTTGCTTTATCAACATCTATTCATCCCTCTAAACAATGTGTTTTGTGTATTTCAAGCAAATGCAGAACATCATTATACTCCCCTCTAAAATACTTCTTATTCATTTTATTTTAGAGAGCGAGAGCAAAAGCAGAAGAGAGGGACAGAGGGTGGGGAGCAGGGAGAGAGAGAGACAGAATCTTAAGCAGGCTTCATGCTCAGCACGGAGCCCAATGTGGGGCTCGATTCCACGACCATGAGACCACTGACATAAGCCAAAATTAAGTCGGATGCTCAGCTGACTGGGCCACCCAGGCACCACTATTTATTTTAAATTTCATTTATTCATTTTAAGTAAGCTCTACACCCAATGCGGGGCTTGAACTCATGACCTCAATATCAATAGCTGCATGCTCTACCAACTGCACCAGCCAGGCACCCTTCCAAAATACTTTTTAAAGCAACTCTTTCTACAGTTTCTTCTCAGCCTTCTAAATATTATTTCATAATCATTAATATAGGTGATGGATTATTCTGCAAAGTCTCAGTTTTCCTAACTTCACACACGGACTCCTCCATCATATATTATTGTTAGCTTCAAAATGGTACAATATTATGTACAGGTAGTAATGTTTCTCAAACTTTAAAATTCACGAGATCACCTAAGAATCTTGTTTAAACAGAGACTCTAAGGGTGCCTGGCTGGCTCAGTCAGTAGAGCATACAACTCTTGACCTCGAGGCTGGGAGTTTGGGCCCCACAATAGGTGTAGAGATTACTTAAAAGTCAAATATTTAAAAATATATACATACATACATGCACATAGATTCTAAATCAACAGGTTTAGGGAAGGGCCTGAGGTTCTGCATTTCTTTCTTTTTTTTTAATGTTTATTTTTGAGAGAGAGAGAGAGAGAGAGAGAGAGAGAGAGCCAGCGAGCGCATGCGCACATGCAAGCTCAGGGGAGGAGCAGAGAGAGGGAGACAGAAGAGCTGAAGTAGGCTCTGTGCGGACAGCAGAGAGCCTGATGCAAGGCTTGAACTCACAAACCGTGAGATTATGACCTGAGTTGAAGTCGGATGCCTAACCGACTGAGCCACCCAGGTGCCCCAGGGTTCTGCCTTTCTAACTAACTCTTGCATGATGATGAAGCTTTGAGGCCCTACAGTACTGAACTATTCTGTCACCTCTCTTCAAAAATAGCTTTGGTCATTAACAAGAAGTCTATGGCCCCCCTCCACCTATCACATCCTCAAAGGCCTTTCAAAGTACTACTAACATTAACAACTATACTTTCAGTTTTAAATTACCCACCTACTGCTTCTAATTTTCTTTGTCCTATTTCAAGATACCTTTATCTTACAAGCAAAAATAGAATGGAACAAGTAACAAAAGCAACTCTCTCAGACCATAGGGTGACATGCTGGCAAATACAGAATATAGTACAATGAACTTTTTTTTTTATCACCTAGTACTCAGAAGTTTCATTACTACTCAATTTTCCTACTTCTGAACCATTCCAAAGAAAACAAAAATTACATATTCATCTATATAACAAATATAGGTTGTATATCATCTTCTTCTGGGATCAAAGTTCCCTGCGTATCATCTAGATACCAAACTAGATTTAATAAATGACAGAAACAAAGGATAGGAACCATTACAAGATTTGTTATTACCATTAATATGGGAGAAATAAGAACCCCAAAGAAAAAATACTGGTTTTTGTAATTTTGGGGAGTTATCCATACTTAAGGGAAGCATATTTATATACAACTACGGAATGTGAGACATCAATGTATGCTCAGGACAATAATTAGATTCTGAAATTTCTTTTTCACTTTAGCTTTGGTGCATAAAGCAAATGCTTCCTTTGTTAATACCACAACTATTTGTTTTCTGGAAATTTCAGAGTTTCTTATTTAATCAAATTTTTATTTTATTTCATTTTATTTTTGGTATTTGTGTCTACAGGTTAAACTTAACCTCTCAATCAAATTCTTCCATATCCTACCCCAAGTATGTTTTAAGAGAAGGGGCCAAGTAGATTATTTGGTACAAATCCCTCATTATATGCAAGGAAAATTAAGACCTAGAAGTTACATTACTTATCTAAAAATCTAATAAATATTAGACACACTATTGACTTTCAGGTGTTCTTCATTTCTTCCTGCATCTAAACTCTTCTGCCTAAAAAATATTTTAGTATTTCTTTAGTGTTGGTCTGCTAGTGAAAAGTTCTTTTGGTGTCTCAGTGGGGTTTGTTTGTTTTTGCATGTTAAAGAATAACATGTATGCATAAAGTTTGTAAATCTTAAGTGTGGAGCTCAATTAAATTTTTTATAATGAATATACTTGCATGACTAAAATCCAGAAGCCTGGCTTTTCTCACTGAATAATTTCCTGCCTTTCCCACAAGCCATCCGTATTATGACCTCAAAGATTAGTTTTCTTTTTTTTTTTTTGAAATTCACATACATAAAATCATACAGTATGTACTCTTTTGTGCCTGATTACCTTAACTCAACATCTTGTCTGTAAATTTCATTCACACTGAATATATAGTTCATTATTTTGCACTGCTGTTGAAAATTCCATTATGTGGCTAGTACTATTTATCTGCCCTATTTTTTTTAAGTTGTATTTATTTAAGTAATCTCTACACCCGTTGTGGGGTTCAAACTCATGACCCCAAGATCCCAAGCTGCTTGCTCTTCCAACTGATCCAGACAGGCGCCCCATCCATC